GATGATAGATGATAATATAATTAGAATTAGTGATAGTTGATGAAAAATTCATGTGAAGTTCAAGAAGAAATCATACGAGTGAATGAGTTACATTTAGTAATTTTAGACTAACGTAAACTATATTTAATGATTTTAAATAAGTCGAAAGATGATGATAATTGAGTTAACTTTTTCTATGGGTGAAAAAGTAGGAGCGAACCGTATTGTTTTAAGAAATTTAAATTTAAATGTTTATTTTTTTATTGATGACATGTCAGTTGAATATATATTGACTTTTTAAGACGTAACGATTAATCTTATTAATTAAGTGAAGAGGTATAATAGTTCCTTAATTATATATATCATGTATGTGTTGTTACCATATTAATGATGCACAATATACAAATATTATGATTATCGTAAATATATTATAATATAATATATTGACAAGAAAATTTTTGAATTTCATAAATGAATTTGCGTAATGGATTCATGAATAATTTGATAAATATTCATTAATGATTATGTTAATTTTTTTAATTTTCAATGAAACAAATATATAAATTTAAAAATTTCGCCCATGCTTAAGATAATATATACAAAATTATAGTTTGGTGTGATAATTTCAAAAGTAGGCTTCAACTATTTTCAATGCTGAATTTGTGGTGTTAAATTAACTACTTATAAATTAAAATTAATGCTAGCATTAAGTTCTGAACCATGGTCTCTATTTAACTACTTGATTTGTATATATTTTCTATTTCATGAGACTTAATCTTGGCCTATATTAAAAATGGCCCGATCCCTTTGATTCAATTTTTTTTAGTGCATTATGCATGAGTTTTTTTTTTTTTTTGATATGCATGCACATTGAGCCAATTGCTTAATTATATTCTTTTGTTTTTAATTATGTTAAAAATTAGTTATAAGAGATATCATTTTGAGAAATTGATTAGTGAATTTTATATTTTAAGCTGAAATACTAAATAAGTAAATGAACAATCCAAAATTAAAAAAAAAATCTAATAAACTCCTATGTCGATAGAAAAATATCACATGACACATGTGACCTTTATCACCATTGAGCTCATGATCAGTTGATCCTTAGCACTTATATAGCAGATGGCATTGTTAATCTGATGTGGTGAAAGTGGCTGAATGGAAATGACCACGACTTGAAGATAAAAATTTTTCTACTCAATCAAATTTGTCACTTCAAAAAGGCCACATTAAAATTTATGCATTTTAGAAAATGCTAGCTGCTTGTTAAAGTCATATGATATATGTGAAAACTTTATGTGAATATAAAAACATATTTGACGACAAACCATATGACATAGACATATCTGAAAAAATAGAATCTTACTAAAAAAAAATTATGAAAGTTCAAAGATTTATTAAGTATTTTAATCTATATTTTATGACTATAGGTAACAGCTTTATATATGATGGCCAATTATTACCTTAGAGCAAATATCTACTTTTATCTTAAATCATTGTATCTAATTGGGACCGTTTTGAAACGATCGGACTTCATCATGTCTGTGCCACGTGAACTGCAGGTGTATGAGGAATGACTATTATGCATGTGTATGTGCGCCCCCACGAGCTCACAAGTTAGTAACCAAAAAAAAAAAAAATCAAATCAAAGAAAAAAAAAGCATTATAAATCTTTTGTTTAGAATTTAAAATTCAATTAAATTAAATTATATAATTATTTTTAAAAATTAACACTCAATAAATTTTAAATTCTAAAATTTACAATATTTTAATTCCAAATTATGATCTCCCCAAAAAATCCTGTCCGAGGAAAAAGAGGGAGGTCCATATATAAAAAAAATCCATTTGATAATTCTTTGGGAAACCCCCAAAATGTTTTAGTGTTGTAAAGAGTGATGATTTTTGGGAGCCCCACTTGGTTCATGTAGGACAAAAGAACACAAATCTAACCGCAAAATACCAAAAGGAACTTTACTACTTTTCATGGAAATGACCAAATATATATATAAAGTGAAAAGCATAGGAGTACTCATCCCACTCTTAATTATTTTTTGGACAGAAATACCCTTGCATATGTTCCCAAAAGAAGTTTTTGTCTTGTTCCCCCCTCCTTGATGATGAGGAGAATACCCTAAGCCCACCATGAATTTAGAAAATTTGAGAGAAGTCTGTCCATCCATTTTGGAAGGGCAAGTGGGAGAGCAATTAGGCAAGTGAAGGTGGAGTAGCAGTGTGAAGTAGTGGAGATAGATGATGTAGGGTGAGGATTGGGAATGTGGGGACTGTTGACATGGATGTTTTTCTACTTTAGGACAAGACAAAGGCACATGGAGAGAGAAGCCCCCTACTCTTCCATGAACCCTCTTTTGGTTTTTGAGATGCTGAGATGCTTTTTCTTGCTTTCAGTTTAATATTGTTTTGTAGAGGACAAGATGGTCCTTTCTGTTTTTGCTCTTTCTCTTGTCCTATACAAAACATTCACTCTCCTATCCTCTCTTGTCCCCTTGTATCGTCACCTCCCCCAACACCACTCAACATTCTCCAAAATGGAAAAACAAAATAAAAAATACACACAAAAAATCTCGCTTACTATGTCACCATCATCTTCGTCCTCTCTCTCTCTCTCTCTCTCTCTCTCTCTCTCTCTCTCTCTCTCTTCTTTCTTTCTAATAAATATTTATATGAGGAGAGACTTTGTTACATATACTTTTTCGCATCGATAATGACTCATCGTCTCTTATGTCCAAAGAGACTATTCATTGATCATGAATTTTGTAAATGTAAATAATAATAAAAAAGTAATAATGAACATATAAGTTTATACTATAACCCCCAAAAGAGTAATTAAAAAAACTAGGTTAATGCGTAAATACTTAATTATCATATTTATTTATATCCCGATATAATATTTAAATTAAAGCTTTATTTGAATGTGATAAAAGCACTTTTTACTCTAAATTTGCAATTTTTTTAAATTTTTATTTACATTTGATTTGATTTAATGGTATGTAACTCTTTTTAAAAGAGATGAGAAATTTAAGGTTCAAATGTCTTCTATATTATATTACTTTTTTTATACTTAAAAGTATAAAAAAATATTTTTTTATCATCAAAATTAAAAATTTAATACTTTTATCTGTATGAAAAAAATTACTTGATTTTAGCCATTTTGTTTCCAATCTTGATAAAACTAGAGGAACTTAACACATGGGAGTACTTGGACCTACTTTTGCTAGCTTAGTGGTCTCTTCTTAATTTGCTATATTTTACTTTCACAATTAAGTGTCCCCTTTTATACATTTGCTATATTCATAAGGTTGTTGTTTAAAAATAAAAATAAAATAATGCTAGATAGATGAAATACAACTTAATGACTAAATGTAAAAATTAAAACATGTTTTTAGGCCATTATGAATTAATATATGCTTTAAATGATGAAAATTGTCGTATATTTAAATTAAACTATTTGTTCATTAAAATAACAGAATTATTAATGTTATTTGAGTTTTGTATGCATAATATATATTTTTTATTCTCAACAACATAAAAACTTTGTTCACATAATGTATTTGTGAGATTTAATTTAATTTAATTCTTTATTTACAAAATTTTGAACTTCAAAAAGAAAAAAAAAAACGAAAATTCCTAGACTGATCCCACCGACTAATTTAGTTAAGATCAATTTACATTATCATAAGGTTTTTGGTGATTCAAAAAAGTAACATGGGGTCAGCAGTTCTAATTCTTTGTAGAAAATTTTGTTGCATATATAGCTTAATTAGTTACTAAAAGTTTTTTTTTTTTTAATGAAAAAACCTAGCAATAGTTAATTAGTTACTAAAAGTTAATTTCATATAAAATAATCAACTATAATCTAGGATGATGTCTTTAAATTATATATTTTTTTTGGTATTGAGGAAGGCCAATTGCCTTAATATCTTTAATAATTTCGTGTCATACTAAATAATTGATCTTCGGCTTTATTTATTTAATTTCGAAATTCAATCCCAAGTCCAATTCAAGTATTTAAGATAAAGTTTCCAATTGTATTCGTTGAATTATAATTTTAAAGATTTGATATTTTAAGTTTAAAATTTTGATAATTCAAATAAACAGAATAAGAAAATTGTAACAAGCAAAGGACAAACAAAATTTTATTGATGTCACATGATTTCTTTTTTTTTTTTTATGGTTCTCTCTCTATTTTTTTATCAAAAATATCATAATTTAAAGATAAGAGAATGGATTGTAAATATTAAAATTTAAACTTTAAATTTGCAAGATGTTACTTCATAAAAGTGATTATATAAACTAACTGAATTAAGGTTCAAATTCGATCGCTCTTTCTGCCTTTGCGATTATAAATTTCACTTAATTGTTAAGGATGCTAATTAAGTTTTTGTTTCTTTTTGTCTATATTGACATGATAACTATAATATATATATATATATATATGTGTGTGTGTGTGTGTGATATGAAAATTATTGTTTTTAAGTTTATGTAAAATTTAAAACTTATTAGAATTTATATTTGATTCATGTATAAATTTTATCCACGTAAATCATATGATATTATATCATTAATAAACAAATATAAATTTTTACAAGTAATGAACCACACAATGACACCATATAAAAAATTGATTTTAAGAATTTTAAATCTTAAAAAGCAAATACACTTAATTTTAAAATATATTTAAAATCAATTTTTTTGAGATATCATTATATGGTTTATTGAAAATATACAAAATTTATATATTAACCATACATCAAATATAAATCTTAAATAAATATATAAATTTTTTTTAATTTTTTTATTAATAAGATGACAGATAATATATAAAATCTTTACAACATCTATCATAAATTTTCACTTTCTGTAACTTCCCCATACCATAAATGTCATAACCTTTTACCCTATAAAATCAAATTCTCTCTACTCACTCCTTTTCCCCTGTCTATATATATTCACTAGAAGCCATCATATCTCTTCGCTCATTTTCTCTGTTTTTCATAGCAAAAAGTACACCTCTACTCTTTTTAACTCATTAAAAACCAATACAAACTTTTATTTCTTGTAAACTCTCAATTTCTCTCGTTTTCAAGCACAAATTCTTTGCTTTCTTTCTCTTTCTTGAACTTTCACTATGCCTTCAAGGCTCTCTGACGCCTTTAGAGGCCAGCCTATCCACCCCCAACAACTCAAACACCCTGACTTTACCTCACTTCAAGAACTACCTGACTCTTACGCATGGAATCAGCGCGATGATGACTACCCTTCTGGCGACGCCTTCGCCACTGATCAATCCGTGCCAATTATCGATCTTAATGACCCTAATGCTCTTCAAGGCATTGGACATGCATGCAAAACTTGGGGAGTTTTCCAAGTCACCAACCATGGCATCCCTACTAGCCTCCTTGATATGGTGGAGTGCACTAGCCGGACTCTTTTCTCTTTACCAGTCCACCAAAAACTTAAAGCTGCTAGATCACCTGATGGTGTCTCCGGCTATGGCTTTGCCAGGATTTCCTCCTTTTTTTCTAAGCTTATGTGGTCTGAGGGCTTCACTATTGTTGGGTCACCAGACGAGCATTTTCGTCTAATTTGGCCCCAAGATTACCGCAATTACTGGTGAGCATCAATTTCACACATGCTCATGCACGTGCAAAATCCGATTCCCTTTTTGTACTTCAAACCCTATTAGTGAAACTAAAAGTTCAAAATTCTATCAACATACATACTATTATCTTTTCTTTGTGGCAAAACTCAAATCCCATTTGCTACACTTAATGCAATTAGCAAAGGTTACAATGAAAGCTATGGACCCACGAAGTAGATTTGGAGGAGTAATGGAATCAATAAACAAAAAACCCCACTTGTCAACTGTTTGCTTTGTTTTATATATCTATAATAATATCAGCTTCACTGTTCCATACAGTATTTTGTATTTTTTTTTCTAGTTTCTTTTTGCAGGAATTTGATTTGTTTCATTTGTTTGTTTCTTCATCAGTGATGTGATTAAAGAATACAAGGAAGAAATGAAAAAGCTAGCAGGCAGATTGATGTGGCTGATGCTGGGTTCCCTAGGCATTATAGCCAAACAAGATATCAAATGGGCTGGCCCAAAAGGCGATTTCAAAGAGGCTTCAGCGGTCTTACAATTGAATTACTACCCGGCTTGTCCGGACCCAGACCGGGCCATGGGTCTCGCTGCGCATACGGACTCAACTCTCCTCACCATCCTCTACCAGAACAGCACCAGTGGGTTGCAGGTCTTAAAAGAGGGAGCCGGATGGGTCACAGTCCCTCCTCTACCGGGCGGGCTTGTGATCAACTTAGGGGACCTTATGCATATACTATCGAACGGGTCATACCCGAGTATTCTTCACCGGGCCAGGGTGAACCGTACCCATCACCGGTTTTCCGTAGCCTATTTATATGGGCCACCATCTAGTGTCAAAATATCACCCCATCCGAAACTATTAGGTCCAGCTCAACCACCCCTCTACCGACCAGTTACTTGGAATGAATACCTTGACACCAAAGCAAAGCATTTCAACAAGGCACTGTCATCAGTTCGAGTTTGTGTTCCTCTAAATGGATTGGTCGATGTAAATGAACACAATAATAGCGTAACAGTTGGCTAAGAGAGTCATTTTTGTTGTTAATCTCCAATTTCGTTTTCTTTCTCTTATATTATCTATTCCTTCCCATATCTTGATTGGTTTGGACATTTTATGGGGACCCTAAGATTTTGGAGGATAGTATTGGGAGTTGGGATGGGTAAACTAAAGGGAAGAATAATGAGGTTAGTTCCCATGAAAAGGCCCAAGTGGATAAGTTGTATCAAATCATATAAAGAGATGCAGACAATGGGTCTCCATTCTGTCTTTTGTCCTTATGCTGAAAGATATGTTGGGAAAAATTCTTATTTGAAACCCCGGATACGGAGGAAGATCCCCATCCGAAGAATAAGACAGTAATCAAGTTAAAAAAAAAAGTCTGTTAAATCATTGGTTGAACATAGATGATGATGCAAAACTATTGAGTCCAGGACAAATTTTCCTGTGGACATGTATAACTCGAATATCCATAAGAAAAACCCGCATCTTTTAGCCCCGGATATGGAGGAAGATCCCAATCCAAAGAATAAGACAGTAATCAAGTTAAAAAAAAGTCAGTTAAATCATTGGATGAACATAGAAAATGATGCAAAACTATTGAGTCCAGGACAATTTTTTCTGTGAACATGTATAACTCGAATATCCATAAGAAAAACAAGAAAATGCGGCCATGATTACATGAATAATCACGAACAATCAATCTTTTTAAAGATATTTTCTTCTTGGAATTGTGAGCATTATTAATGCAGAGACAGAGTTGTCAGTCATTCCTATAATGTCATGCAAACTGAAGATGATATTGCCTCTGCAACCAAACCACGTGCAAATCCACGTTGGCTAGTCAGGTTTGAGAACCCTACCTTATCACGGAGATGTGGCATTTTTTACCCTTTTTTATTTGTTTGCTTCTTCATTTCTTCTTTGGAAGGTTAAACGCTTACGTGAAGTTGTCTATCCAAAATGAAACCAAAGAAACACACATCCCTTTTCCCTGTCGACCCTTTTCATTGAACTTCTTGACCTGAAACAACAAAGAGATTACAGGACATTAACATAAGCAGAAAAAAGGGCGAAAATTTTCAACTTCCCAACATACGTCTGGTTCATTCTAGATTTCAGATGATTTCCGTAAAGTATGGTTAAATGGTCCATCAGAAGCATTATTGAAGGCACCTCCCATGGCATTTAAAATATAGCTTCTATGTTAATTTATCTTCAAATTGACAGCTATAATTAGAACTTATTTAGAGGAAAAAAAATTTAAACTCCAAGTTTTCAGCTAATTTTTAGGTGAATTATATGAGGAGCCAATTAAGCAGTCTTGTTCAATTGTAATGATGTTTAGAGACAAGAGACAACTTGCAGTAGCAGCCAAAGTTTGTGATTCTTCTAAATGCTAAGTGCCAACTACTTTAAATTCTTACCAATAGCTAAATAATGTGCACCTTATCGTCCACTGTCTCCACAATCTAGCAGCAATTTAGAACAGGGAATTTTATCAAATCGGAATCCAACTTCTTAAGTTGCAGATGATATCAGAATCAATCTATGTCACATCATTTAGAAGCCAGCTCCCGGGATTTAATAGATATGATGTTTTATTAGGTGTAAAATCTATATCCCATTCCATCAAACATATCATTGTGTTTTCAATTCAGATTCAACTTTCGAATTCCATAACTTCACCACACAGTCCAAATTGGATTAAAAGTAATCAAAGCATTTTTCTTTCAGAATGCGAATATTTTTGCAGGGTCAGATCCCACTTTCAGCAAAATGCATTGATCAGCTAATCTATTCATATTCGTTTTCTTCGAAAAGCAATCTGTTGTTTTCATTTTCACAGGAATGATATTCAGATTCTGCGGTGGCAAACATGCAATACTTAAAAATATCCTCGTAATGGATCCCCCCTTGAGGCCAATGTCTTTTCAAAAGGCCGAAGTTTTTACGTCTGAGTTAGACTAAACATCACTCAACCGCTGAAATTCAGTGTACTACAGAAGAAGTAAAGTGCCTGCTGTCCATTGAAGACTTCAAATCATTCAACCCATGGTAGCATCTGCTATAGTAAATTAAAAAAGAATCAGGTTTCAATAGTAGTGGTCCATGAGAGATCATGCATGGGATCAATCATCTATCACTATCTGATGCTAAAAGTCCAGATTATTTTATAGGCAAGGAATATATTCATTGTAAAATCATTACAGCTATCCTGTATTCATTTGATTGATATGCAGTAAGTCAGTATCTAGATATCATCCATCGGAATTTCTCAAATTGTTTAAGGATTAGAAATTCATATTGGCATGAATGCTGAACAGTTTGCAAAACATCATCAAGATTTAGATGAAAGGCAAGGATTCTGACAAAGAAAAGAGAAAAGGAGTGAAAATATATCTCTGGAAATTGCAATGAATTTTCAGACGGTACCAAGAAGAAGGGATAATTAAGTTTCATAGAACTTTGTGACGCTTGTACCATTGCAGAAGAGAAGCAAATCACTGCAATAATCAAGGGAATTATTTTGAAAGAAAATGCAGAAAAGAAGTAATAAGACAGACAAGGCAGGAGTAGAAGGTTGATGACTTCAGATATTAACAAGAAGGGCAGGCCCCTAGGGACGGCAGAGAGGCGAGAGAAGATTTTGCTGATATGCATTGCACAAAAGTCAAAGCATCACTATAACAAGATTGAAGGGAAATGTGTACTACAGTGAATATGATAGCTAAACCCATCTAGGAGAAAGATCAGCAACCACTGAATGGCCTTAAATGGTGCTAATTAATTTTGAAGACATTCCTTACCTACTAGCTTAATTAATTTAACAAATATTCCTCTTACAACATTGTAAGTGGAACGTATGGAAATGGTTTGTGGCCTCTGCAGCAGTGCATGTTCCATAGGATATTTCTTCCTAAATATATATGTTATCCTGACATATTCTCATTAAAATTTATTAAAAAGACCTTTATTACTTGGTGAGCATATTGCAACCAACAGAAGCAAATTAACCAAGCATTCAATATTGCTGCACCTAATGCAATATTTCTCTTTGAATCTTCCCTCCGCAAATTTAACTGCTATGGATACACCTAGAAAGTGGGAGATGGAGAAACCCTTAATTTATTTTTCCAGAATAAATTAACATAAACATATCAAAGTTGTTGTAGTATAGTGTTAAGTATTCTGCCCTGTCATGCGGGTGAGCCGGATTTAATCCCGGCAACGGTGACAAATGTTTTTTGGTTCCTTTGATATTCCATTATCAGTATTTCAGACTACTTCCGACTTGGAAGCATCTTTGTTTTGAATCTCCAGTCCATTAACCTCATTTGATACAATAGGGTCATCATAGTCTGGTCAGAGTGAGCACATGCTCTGAGGGTTGGCTCGGTGGTTTGGGGTCCTTCATATTTCATGATATAATTTGTGGAGTCTATGAACTCATCCATGTATTTCTCCAGATCGAAACTCCCCAAAATCATCCTCCTAATTGTCTTCTGCCATCCGGATGCTAGCTCTGTGACTGCCAAAGGCAGAGCAGTTGATTAAGAGACCATATATTATATGCAATAAAAAAAGTATTTTAATTGAAAGAAGTCTATAGTTTTGCTGTCAAAAGAAAGGGTTTTAATTGCAAGTGAAAGTATCAGCTGAAAATTAGGAAGTTCTCTGCCAAAAGTAAGAGTTTGATGATAGAATTTTAATCGGAAAGTAAATCGAAAGAGTTATTATTCTGAACCTGAGTTTACATCAGGCCACATGATGGTAGTCCGGCCTTTGTTCAATGTTTTCAGCAATATTTGCGTCATCAATGACCATGCTTTCACACAGTGGTGCTATAGGCCCACAATAGCCACGAAAGAGCTTCTCGGAATCTTAGAGCCTTTTCCGTGCGTAAAGGCAGGTCGAAAAGCACTTCAAGGGCTCCAAATCCTGCCTTTCGAAGCTCCAGGGCTTCTTCAAACAAAGCCTCGAAACAGCCGTACTCCTGGAGTGCTTGCCGGACTTGGACTTGCACCAAATCCCGTTCGGGGGGTGCCTGGCTTCAGGTCTTGTTATTAGAAATCTATAACCGGAAGCCTAACCGAGGTTTCTTTCTGAGCTTATCTCTGTTTTCTTTGTAATGTAAACAAATAATGGAAGAGTTCGATGTTTCGTGTGCTTAATTAATGTGACAATTTCAATTTCACATCTAAAATTTAAGAGAATTTGTTGCATCATATTTATGAAGGCTTGAATTATGATTGGATGACACCTTTTATACATAAATCTATGAGATTTATTAAGGCTCAATTAATTGACATTGCGGTTGCGATTAAAATTACATTGAAAGTCCCTACTTTCTACCATTGAAAACAAATTTATCATGACTGTGAATTTGAGTAATTTTTAAAATTTTCATTTAAAATTATTCAAATTTAGCTAACTTTGACTTTCATTTTGACCTATGTGATCAAATTCATCTTTTCTACATAGCAGTAGAAATTTCATCTAAATCTCTATAGAGTTTGGTTTCGATAGTGTCAAGAATTTTTCTTCTCTCTTGTGTTTTGAACCTGTTGGCAATTATCAGTATTTTGGAGCTGATGTTTCTTAGCCATTAGCCCATTACCTTATTACCTTGGTTTTTAGTGTTTTAATTTAATATAATTCTTTTTTTTTTTTGGGCATTTGATATGTTATTCTCACTGTCTATTTATTCCTTTTTTATTAATTAATAAACAATTTTCTTTTAACAAAATTACTTTTTTAAAAGGTGTGATTAACGCATTTAAAAATTGAGAATATATCATTTATAATCATTACATTATAATCAATTATAATTTAAAATTGTGTAAGGTTTATTAAATTAAATTTTATATAAAAATCTAACTTATAAGTGGTCGATCCTATAAAATTTTTTATTATAATTGGATAATTTTAGGATTTTAATAAAAAAATTATAAGTGAAATGCTTCCTTAAAAGCTTTATCCGAATTAATTTATTTTAATCTATCCATTTAAATTTATTATTGAAATATATGAAAAATTTTCTATTAATATTAAAATTTTTAATTATATTTTAAAATTAAAATAATTTTAATTTATATAATAATGTCTTTAAGTAGGGAAGATACGAACTTAAAAATTCCATCCAAAATCCACCTTATGAATATAGACTTTGGGGTCCCAAGATTGATATTTGGTTACTGAAAGCCATAACTTTCTTGTAGTGATATTGTCGCATTAAAATAACAATCCATTTTTTATTCATATTCGAAACTTTAAATACATGACCAACATATCTTTCATGTTAGAGAATAAGCTAGATTAACCCTTATTGCATCCCACACATTTATTAAAACGATCAAGGTTTTGACCATATGTAATTAAGATGGAAACTGTTTATACATAGAGCCCAATTTTAGACACCACAGTAAGCTTTAATAGCAGATTTAGGTATTCGACCTTCCTCGGAGTAGCAGAATTTCAAGAACTCAGCGTAATCAAAGGGCTTATAGAGAGAGGGGTGTGCTTCATCCACTAGCTCCTCTGGTGCCTTCATTATGCAACCTCCTTTTGGGAATGAAAACAGTCCAAGCGAGTACCTTGGCTTGTCTCCGCTCATCATCACGCGATGATAAGTAGCCTTCAATCGCCCATTTAACCATGCCTTCAACATAATCATACCGACTTAATTTACCTATTAGACATTTTTTGTTCACTTCACAATTTATTGCAGAGAATATTTAGTTGTTAAAGAACAAACTCCGGGAAAGTAGCGTTCCTTTAATTATAAATATTTTAGTTTAATTTGTTTATATAATTATCTTGAGATGACATTTAAAATATCTGGAATTTAAGTATTACTATCTTTAATTTTTTTTATTTTTATATTACAATTTCTTTTTGTACAAAAAAAATTCTTGTATTAAGTTGATTTGAACAAAGTATAAAAATATTATATAATGTAAAGGTGTTCAGGCACATGGTGTTATCAAGCTGACATTTAAAGTTTCGGTTTAAGCTGATCCTTATATACATACTAGTTTTTAACAGGTGCATTATGCACATGTAATTTTATCTCTAAAAATTTATATCAATAATTTTTTTTTGATATTATGATAACAATGATAAATAATATTAATTTACTTTTGATTTTGATATAATATATGTAAAATTTGATAACTTTTGATAAAATTTTAATAACTTTCGATACAATTTTCGTAATCGTTGATAACATTTTAGTAATCTCTTAATGTAATTTTAATAATTAACCTTTTAGTAACTTATGATATACTTTTAGTAATCGTTAATAAAATTTGAATTATTATATATTTAATAATAGATTTTTGTAAGAAAACTCATATTCAATTCTAGTATAAGATAATTTTTTATATAATAACAATATTGTTTCATTCAAATTTAGAAATTTTTTTCACTAAATTTTTCATTGAATAGGTTATGGTAGTTTTATCCAAGTCTCCCAAGATAAATTTCAAGTTTCATTTTTGCTAATAGTCAAGATTCAATTCCTAACCACTTTAAGTCCAAAAAGTTTATCAATGATTGACAATAAAGTTATCATTAATTTTTTATTATACTATCAACAATTTACTACTAAGCTATCAGTGATATATTATTAAATTATCAATGATTTATTACTAAATTAGTATTGATTTACTATTAACTTATGAATGATTTAGTACTAAATTATGAATGATTTATTATTAAATTGTTAATGATTTACTATTAAATTACTAATGATTTGTAATAAAGTTATAACTGATTTACTATTAATTTAATGATGATTTACTATAAAGATATTAATAATTGACTAATTTACAACTAAATTATCAATAATTTACATATAAATTATCAATGATTTACTATTATATTATTATGCATTTATTATTTTGTTATCATTAATTTACTATTTATTTTTTGATTTACTAACAAATAATCACATAATTATTACAAAATTAACCATGATTCATAATCAAGTTATCATTAATTTATATTAAATTATCCATAATTTACTATTAAGTTATTTAACTATTAAGTTATTGATGATTAACTACTACTAAGTTATATTGATTTACTTTTAGATTTCAATATAAACTATTAAATTATCATTGATTTACTATTAAATTATTTATAATTTACTACTAAATTTATCAATTAACTACTACTAAATTGAGATTTAATTACTATTAAGTTATCACTAATTTACTATTAAGTTATAATTGATTTTTTGTTAAGTTATTAATAATTAACAACTAAATTATCACTTGTTTTTATTAACCTATCATTGATTTACTAATATGATGTTATACTTTTAAAGCCATGAAACATGGAATTTTGAGATAATTTTCTTTTGATATAATAACATTATTGTTTTATTTAAATTTAGAATTTTTTCACTAATTCTTTTTATTGAATAAGTTCATGATAAGTTTATCCTAGCCATCAAAATAAAAGTTTTCACTTCATTTCTATTATTACCAGGGTTCAATCATAGGCAATTTCAAGTATAAAAAAGTCATCAATGATTGATAATTAATTTATCAGTTATTTATTACTAAATTATCAAAGATTTACTACTAAATTATCAATGATATTTACTTTTATTTTATGAATGATTTATCATTAAGTTATAAAATATTTATCATTAAGTTGTGAATGATTTCTATTAAATTGTTGGTGATTTATCATTAAGTTATTGATGATTTATTATAAAGTTATAATTAAGTTACTGATAATTTACTAAAAAGTTATCAATGATTAACTAATATACTACTAAATTATCATTGATGTACAATTAAGTTATTAGTAATTTACTATCATATTATTAATGATTTACTGCTAAGTTATTAATTTATTAGTAAATTATCTATGATTTAGTATTACATTTTTATATATTTACTATTAGGATATCATTGACTTATTACTTAATTTTTGATTATTTACTATAAAATTATATCTGATTTAGCACTAAATTATTTATGATTCATGATCAAGTTATTACTGATTTATATTAGATTATGCATGATTTATTATTAAGTTATTATAGATTAACTATTATGTTATAAATTATTTACTAATAAGTTATACTAATTTACTTTTACTTTTTTAATGATTAACTACTAAATTATCAATTATTTATTACTAATTTATCATTGATTTACTATCAATTAATTATATTAAACTGAATTTGATATACTATTAAATTATTACTAATTTACTATTAAATTATCATTGATTATTACTAAGTTATCAATAATTAACTACTAAATTATCACTTATTTTTTGTTAAGTTATCCTTGATTTAGTATTATGTTATTATATATTTACAACTATATTATAATTGATTTACCATTAAGGTATTATCATATATTATTATATTATTACTGATTTACTAAAAGTTATCAATTATTTATCACTACATTATCGTTCATTTATTATTAAGTTATCATTAATTTACTACTAAATTATTGATGATTATTATTATATTATACTGATTACATTTAAGTTTTTATTGATTAATTACTAAGGTATTAATTATCTACTACTATGTTATCATTCATTTATGTACATCCAAAAAGAAAGTAATCACAATGTATGCTAAATTATGTAATTTGTAAGATAGAGAAAAAAAGAAGAAAAAATTCAAGTTTAAATGATTTGAAAAGTATGAGTAAATGCTGTTAATTTACTCTATAACTTAACATGCCATAATATGTTAAAATCATAACTTTTTATACTAATATAAGTATTAAAACTAAATTAAATAAATATATACAATATATATTAAGTCAATATTTTAAAGAGTTTTCTCAAAATTTTTAGTTCATGGTAAAATAATAGATATTAAGATAAGTATTATTAATGATTTGATTGAATTATTAGTGTATATATTTTCATACTTGTTAGCGAAGTAGAATTGTATATAAAAGATTGAAAGTTTTGAAGTGTTCTATCATTAATGGAAGTAATAAACTTTATCTTATGTTTCTATTTTTAAGTATATAATTTTAAGTAAAAATTTTGTTATATATATGATAAAAGTAATTTGAACTTATTTACTAAATAAAATTTATAAAAATTAAGTAGACAATGATTTAAAAAAATATTAGATTCATAATAATTACTTTCGTGTTCTTCATAATTTTTTTTTACTAAACAAAAACCTAGATATTTTTAATTGTTGCTTCATTCTAATTACCACCATTCAAAATAACTTTTTTGATATTTTGATGCCAATCAAATTCTCCATTTAAAAAGAGTAAATAATATTTCGCATTCTCTATAAAAAATTTCTTCTACTACATGAAAAGATAGTATATTTTTAATTGTTACTTCATTCTTATTACCATTATTTAAAATGACTTTTTTGATATTTTGATGTCAATTAACTTCTTCATTTGGAAAGAGTAAAAAATATTATAAATGGTCATAGCAACCAAAATAATGTTTAACTTTATGCTATCTTCATGAATGATTTTGAACTATGATATGATCTCTTTTAAATAAAATATTTGAATTAATTGTCTTCTTTAACCTATATAGTGGTAATTTGATTAACAAATGAACAATTATAAACTCGTTGATTTAGATTAACATTTCTATAATATGAATTTCAAAATCTTCAAAAGAAAGAAATATCCTTTAATCTTTGCGAAACTTGGGTATAAGGATTTTTTTCTAAAATTATCATTTGTAACTCTTTCACTTTTGTACTTAAATTTTTATTGTGTTGTGTTCTCATTTTATTTTGAAATTTATTAAAAGTGTCATAAAAGTATAGTTAAAATAGCATGGATTAATAAACTCAAACTTGAAACAATTCAAAACTCAAATTAAATATAAATAAAATTTTTACTTATTTTAAATTTTAATTAATTAAAAATAATATAATACACATTATTATAATAATGAACTAACTTAACTCAATTTTAATTGATTTAAAAATGTTAACAACTTAGTAATTATTTAAAATTTGAAATGATTGAATATAATCAAAATCTGAATTAAACTAATAACTCAATTAAAATCCAATATTAGTGATTCATCTTCCATAATAATTTAAAAGTTTTTTTATTTAAGCTTTTTTTCCCTTCATCTCAATGTTTTATTTTTATTGTCTTTGTGGTTGAATTAGTTAATTAATTTTAAGAGAATTTTTAAAGTAAAATTAAAATTATAAGCAATTTAATATACTTATTTTTTATTTAAATTTAGGATGATTTAAATCCACCTTTTTAAATAAAGAGAAGTATGCATCAATTATTGAGTTAAATGAGTTTAGATATATAAGTGAATAATTGAATACACTATGAATAGAAATATATAATAAAACTTGACTTAACCTAATTGGTCATTGACCCTAAGTCTAAAATCTAACTCAAAATTATAAAAAGTCAAAATTAAAAATAATTGAAATACCAAATATGTAATTAAATAAAAATTTATCAAATAAATTTTGATAATAAATGCCTTTAAATCACTTTTATATTTAGTTAAATTATAATTTATAATAATTTTTTTATTTTAGATGTAAAGAAATAATTAATTTGATAAAATTCAATTCGTTTGAACAAACATTACCTAATATGATAACCTCAAAAATTTTTATATAATAGTTAATATTCTTTAACTAATATAAAAGAGATAATGAGTATGTAATGTTTCATCAAATAAAAAAGTTTCATATTAATCATAAAAAATTTGAAATCAATGTGTTTGTATATTTTTTATTGAAACATCATATAACACTAACATTTTTTTTATTATATAGAGATTATAGAGTTACGCATAACCAATCAATTTTTCGTTTCATTTTTTGCTTAAAATAATCTTCCATTGGTGCTTTTATTAATTGAATATAATTGTACATTCTATCAACTAAAAGCTTAATTTTCTTTTATTTTAAAAATTTTATTATACGTAAATTTTTGTTATATAAATACATAATTTTAAAAAATAAAATAAAATAAAATCTTACCTTGAAAGAATTCACCAAAAACAATTAATTTTATTTCACTTAATAGTTTTTTACTTAGAATAATTCACATTAGATCATTTAACCACTTGGATTATTTGATGTGAAAGATCATTTTACTTATAAAAAGAATCTAATAATAAAAAAATTTCATTTAAATTAAAATTTCTAAAAAAATTACTAATGATGTTTTGATCAATCACTTTTAACATTTTTTAAATTAAAATTTTATTAAGAGTATTTTAATCAATCACTTTTAATATTTTTTTAGTCTAATTATAAAAAGAAAGAGTCCAATAATAAAAAATTTATATAAAAACAATTAGTAAGGATATTTTAGGCAATCACTTTTAATGCTCTTAGAATTAAAATTTTAAAATTTTAAAAAAAATTTAATTTTACATAAACTCTATTTTTAATTTTAGTCGATTTAAATTAAATTTAAATGAATTAATAAAAGTTATACATATTTAAGTATAAATTTGTTAATTTAAAATTTAATATACATAATTTAAAAAAATAAAATAAAATAAAATCTTACCTTGAAAGAAATCACAAAAAAAAAATTAATTTTATTTTACTTGATAATTTTTTACTTAGAATAATTTATGTTAGATCATTCAACCACATAGATTATTTAATGTGAAAAAATATTTTACTTATAAAAAGAGTCTAATAATAAAAAAAGTCATTTTAAATTAAAATTTCTAAAAAAATTACTAATGATAATTTGATCAATCATTTTTATTTTTTTTAAATTAAAATTTTATTAAAAGTATTTTAATCAATCACTTTTAGTATTTTTTTTAGCTTAATTACAAAAAGAAAGAGTCTAATAATAAAAAATTCATATAAAAACATTCAGTAAGGATATCTTAGACAATCACTTTTAATACTTTTAAAATTAAAATTTTAAATAATTTAATTTTACATAAACTCTATTTTTAATTTTAGTTTATTTAAATTAAATTTAAATAAATTAATAAAATTGATCCATATTTAAGGATCAATTCGTTAATTTAAAAATTTATAGGGATATTTATGTCATTCATTATTAATAGAATTGACCAAAAATAATTAATTTTAGTTTACTTGATAATTTTTACTTAGAATAATTTACGTTAGATCATTCAACCACCAAGATTATTTAATGTGAAAAATCATTTTACTTATTAAAAGAATTTAATAAAAAAAGTCATTTAAATGAAAATTTCTAAAAAAATTGCTAATGGCATTTTGATCAATCATTTTTTAATATTTTTTAAATTAAAATTTTATTAAGAGTATTTTAATCAATCACTTTTAGTATTTTTTTTACCCTAATTATAAAAGGAAAGAGTCTAATAATAAAAAATTCATATAAAAACATTTAGTAAGGATAGTTTGGACAATCACTTTTAATACTTTTAGAATTAAAGTTTTAAAATTTTAAATAATTTAATTTTACATAATAAGGATAGTTTGGACAATCACTTTTAATACTTTTAGAATTAAAATTTTAAAATTTTAAATAAATTTTATTTTTAATTTTAGTTGATTTAAATTAAATTTAAATAAATTAGTAAAAGTTATACATATTTAAGGATAAATTTGTTAATTTAAAAATTTATAGGGGTATTTAGGTCATTTACTATTAATAGTTTTGGAGTTCACACTTTTATATATAGATGATATATATATTGTATTTTATCATCATAATGATAATATTTTATTCTATAATGTTTTCACATTATAAATTAAAATTAAATGAAATATACCATTTAAGACCCACTTGATCAAGTTCTAACCTAAAATTAAGTCCAAATTTGGCAAAATTCAAGTCAAGCCTATGGGCCAGGATAAGAGCTCTGTCGTTAGACACCTGACTCGAATATATAGTGTGCGTAGCACTATTCACTTCAACATATTTTATACTAATTAGTTAGCCTATACATGTTAATAATTATAATTGGTCTATATATACGACGCAATGTTAAATCATCAATAGGTAAAATTGGAAGACTTACATGGAGACATTCCCCAACGAAGACAATGAAAGAGTCTTTGGAGGGTTTCACATCGATCCATTCTTCCTTGTTGCTCTGTACCCCCAATCCGTGAACCTCATTTTGATACAATATGGTCAATAGGTTCTTGTCTGTGTGAGCGGATAGTCCAAGCTGTGTTTCAGAGGTTTTTGGCTCTTTATACTTCATTACCCTAAGAAGGTAGTTTGTCGAGTTCATATGCTCATCAATATATTTCTCAAGATGGAAAATCTCCAATATCATTCTTCTTATCATTTCATCTAACTCCGACAATTGCTTTGAGAATGATTGTACAGTTTTGCTGTCAAGATTAAGTAGAGCTAAAAAATCAGGTGGATAAAAAAAATTGAAGACAATAAGTATATGTATATATAGACTATATGCTATTTCATGGAAAAATAGGTAGAATAAGAAATTTATGAACCTGAAACGTGTGTTTCCTTCAGGCCAAAAGGTACTAGTCTGGGCTTCAACTTTTTCCATATTGTTTGGATCATCAATGCCAATGCTCTCATACAATGATAGATGAGGGTATTGACCAATATACCCATTATAAGGCAGTTTGGAAACATTGCGAGTTTTGATTTGTAAAGGGAGGTCAAAAAGCTCTTCCACGGCTCCCAATATTGCCTCTCGGATCTCGAGAGGGATCTTGTGGAACAAAGCCTCAAAGCAACCATACTCTTGTAGGGCTTGTTCGACTTGGCTTTTCACCAAATTCCACACAACCGTGCCAGGTTTTAGATCTGGTTTAGTGAAATCAATGACTGGAAGCTTCAAAGCAGTTTGGGAGCCCATTTCTAACAAAGAGTTATGCAGAGGAAGTTATTTTTTCTTGTGATTAATTAGGTCTGAAGCATTCCATACACAAATGAACAAATTTATATACAGCTCCAATTTATATATCTAGTCTCACATTCAATTTGTCAATTTGACTGTGAAGTTTTTAGATTCTTGTAGGCTGGTAGTTTAGTGTAGTTTCGGCAAGGTTTTTGCTTCTATTTTTTTTTGTCTTAGGTTGAATTCAATTTGAGTGTTTGGCAGGGGCTGAGTTTTGGATGCTGCTGCCGCCTTTTTGGCGGATGTTGTTAGGCAAGCCTCTCTTTTTTGTTGTTTCACTTGGTCTGTCGGGGTACATATTTGTTGGTACTTAGAACTGTTTTTTCTTTTCTTGTATTTTAGTTTAAATTCATAAAATATATACATATTTTTAATTCAAAATAATTATAATAGCGATTTTTTGTCTAGGAGACTCATCGTTAGATTTGGCAAAAATTTTTGGAGTCATTACCAATATTTTTAAAAGGGTGTGATTAGTCATCCAAAAATATTATCTTTTAATAAAAATCTTAAAATTAATTAAGATTTATTAAAAGAAATTTAGGTCTCCGAAATCAAGATTAGGTCCGAGAGTACGGTTACGAGCAAAGAAGGTATCAGCACCCTTAAGTTGCTCGTTCGAAGAACCGTACCAATTAAACATGTATAATCTTTTAATTTTAATGATATGGTCTTTTATATTTATTTAATTTCTTAAAATTTATTTAAGAAATATTTTTTTTGTTGTGAAATTATTATTATTATTATTATTTCGTATTCTATAAATTCTCCTATGTTTTGACGGAATTTATAGAAAATCACTATTTAGAAAGTATTTCGAAAAAATTGACCATTCACAAAATTCTCGAAATCTCATCATAAGATATTTTATTTGTTTGTTTTAAAAAATATTTTAGGAACATCCTCACTCTTTGGTGAGTTTCTAAAATTTATTAAACAAATTTTAAGATTATCCCGACTCTTTAGTGACAACTTAAAAATTTTGAACAAGTTTTATGATTATCTCAACTTTTGACAAGATCTTAAAAAATCATTTTTTTTTAGTTAAAGGGAATTGATTAATTAATTAATCTTTATTATGATTATTTTAAAAACTTTTATTATTTATTAATTATTTTTATTATAAAAAATTTAGATTATCTCAACTAATCAGCGAAATCTAAATATTAATATCTTGCTTGTATTAAAAAATATCAAACTCTTTCAATTTTTTATTTTTTTAAATATTCAAAATATCAATTATTATTATTTTTTTATTATTTTACATTGTCTAAATCAATCTTTATTTTAGTAAAAATAATTTTGGATTATCCCAACTCTATGGTGAAATCCGAAAAATTATTTTTACTTGCAACAATAAAAAAAAACTTAACTCTTTCAGCTTTCCCTAAAAATTGCACTTAAAGATTCATTTAAAAAATTTATTTTTTTATTTATCATTTTTATTTATTATTATTTATTTAGCAAAAATTATTTTTTAAATTATCACAACACTTTGGTGAAATTTAAATAACATTTTTGTTTGTAATAAAATTTATTTCCCTTAAATAGTTCTTATTATTAATTTTTTTTGCATATTATATTTTTTAGGTCTTTATTTTATTTTATTTTAGTTTTTTATTTTATTTATTTATTTCTAAAAAGTTATTGCTAGTAATAATATAAAACAACAATAATAAAACTAACAATAACATCATAAAAAATCAATATAAAAAGATAAACATAAAATAAATAAAATCAAAATAAAAAAGGAAAAACCTGTAAAATAGGTCGGGTCGGTGCACAGGTTGACATGCGGATCTTGTGCAGGTCGGGTGCGAGTCAGATGCCCAAAATGACGTCGTTTTAGAGTGCCTATAAATAGGCGAAAATCAGTTTTGTTTTTCTTATTTCTTCTTTCCCCTTTCTCTCTACCACAGTCTCTTTCTCCAAAAACCTAGTAGCTCTTGCCAGCTGTAGTGTCAATCTAGATTTCGGCCAATCGTCGTTGTGCACTAATGGCCAAAATTTTCAATGGCACCGAAAAATTCAAAGATACCTAGATTCCAATGGCAAAAAAATTCAATGGTCGCCAAAAAATTCAAACTTTTTCAATTGACTCAAAAAGCTTTTCAAAAATTTCCAAAAAATCCTAAATTGCTAAATTTTGTTTTCTAAGTACTTCCCAAACCCAGATTTGTAAAAAAAAAAAAATCTTAAACCTCATAGATCTAAAATTTTATTCTCGGTTGTTTTTTTTTTTTGTAATTTTTTGTTTTACTGTTGGTTCTTCAAAGAGGACTGTAATTGCTCTTTTTTTTTTTTGTTTTGTAGAGCCCCTAGTTATTCCTCTATATTTCCCTCTCCGTTCTCTTCTATTTTTGTAGAAATTAGCTCTATTTATAGAGTTTCTAAGATTCAAGATCCCAGATCTCCTGGGATCTTTTGTGAAAAATTTACAGATCTATTCGATGACTTTTGGTAACCGAATTTTATGCTGCCAAGTTAGACAGTGTCAAAGAGAAAAAAATCACTATGATAGCTAATTTAGTTGCCAGAGTTAAAACCAAAAGATTTTTTTTGACTTTTTTTTCTTTTTTTAATTAATTAATTAATAGTATTAATATTAATATTAATATAAAAACAAAAAAATCGTTAGTCAAATTTGATGTTTACAGCTGTCCCTTTTTTTATTTATGAGAATCCAGAATAGAGTAAAGATAAAAAGACACCAATTTTGTTTAAGTAAACACATGTAAAAAATGAAACATTGAACATAAAGTTTTATTTTTTTAAAGAAAATTTGAAAAGCTCCTTTAAACAGAGGCTATGAAACTTTAAATTCAAAAAGCTCTTTTGACCAGAGGCAACAAACTTTAAATTCAAAAGACTCCTCTCACCACAGGCAATGGACTTTAAATTTAGAAAGCTCCTATCACAAGAGGCAACAAACTTTAAATATTAAAAGGCTCCTCTCACCAGAGGCAACAAACTTTAAATACTAAAAGGCTTCTTTAACCAAAGGTAACAAACTTTAAATGTTAAAAATCTGAGATGACTTATATATTATACAATTTGGTTTTTCAAATTATGCCTAATTTTGATAGAGTCCTCTGACTAAAGGATCTTAAAATTAAAAAACTCATATGACTAAAGGCTATGAAACTTTAAATTCAAAAGGCTCCTCTAACCAAAGGCAATAAACTTTAAATTCAAAACGCTGAAAGACAATGTTATTTGAAAGATTTTCTAAACAGAGGGTTCACATCTTTCCTGCTTTTGACTTTTTCTTTTATTGGTCTTGGATTGTCCTAGCCCATAAATCTGTTGTGTCACATGCATGTGTGAATAACATTTTCATGTTTTTGCAATGCCATGCAATGAATGATGATCATGATGCGAATGCACTCATTATGCAAATGAAAAGACCATTTTCTTTCTCTTTTTTTTGTTGTCATTTTGTTTTAATCTTCAAAATTTTTCAAGGTTTGTTTCTTTCTTTTTCTCTTGAATCCCATGTATTCCAACAATTGATTAAGTTCAAATAAAAAAGATTTCTCTTCATATCCCATATTCAATGTCGACCACTTTTATGACTTATAGGCCACTTTTCTCATTAACCTTGTTCCTTACTATTGGCTTATCATTTTAAATCTCCTTTAAAATAATGTATGTGTCTTTTATGGTCATTGTTATTCCTTCATCATCTTTTGAATTTTACTACAATTATAACACATTGTACATTTTTTTTTAACAAGAGGGACAAAAGGAAGGATAAACAAAGAGGTATTTTATTTCGATAAAAGGAAGAAATGTTTCATGCATTATCCAAAAAGATATAACAAGGACAACAAGTAATCACATAATAAATATTCAGATGATCATGAACTAATTCATCATGGATTCTTTTCTAAATACTCTTGATTGGTGCCCTTAACTTTTGAAAATGTAACGGACCAAGCTACCATTTTAGGTTTTTAACTCAGATATCATTTCAATTCATTTTGTTTTTTTTTGTTTTTTATTTTTTTAAGCATAATACTTTTTTACTACATCGACATTGATTGGATTTGGCAAATCATCTCTATCCATTCTTGCTAAGATCAAGTGCCCCACCAGAAAAAGCTTTTTTCACCACATATAGGCCTTTCTAATTAAGAGTCCATTTTTCTTGAAGATCTATTGGTTAGGAAGAATCTTTTTAAATACTAATTCTCTCTCTAGAAATTGTCATGGGTGAACTTTCTTGTCATGAGCTTGCATAATTCTTTTTGATATAGTTGGCCATGGTAAAGTGTAACTAATCTCTTTTTTTCAATGAGATTCAATTGTTCATATCGAGCACGAACCAACTCAGCTTCTTCTAACTCAACTTTCATGAGAACATGTAAGGAAGGAATTTCAACTTCAATGGGCAACACTGCCTTCATCCTATATACCAATAAAAATGATGTAGCTCTTGTAGATATGCGAATTGAAGTTCGAAGATAAGCATGTAATATAAATGGTAGCTTTTTATGCCAATCTTTATATACATCTATCATCTTTTCAACAATTCTCTTTATATGCTTATTGGCCACTTCAACTGCTCCATTTATCTTTGGATGATAATGCGTTGATTTATGGTGTTTGATTTTAAACTGAGCACAAACTTTAGCCATCATTTTATTATTTAAATTAAGAGTATTATACGAAATGATCTTTTTTGGAAGGCCATATTGACATATGATCTCTTTCTTGATAAACTTACAAACCATCATTTTTTTCGCATTAGCATATGAAGCTGCCTCTACCTATTTTGTGAAGTAGTCAATCATCACTAAAATGAATTGATGCCTATTTAAGGTTTTTGGTGTGATGGGCCCTATCACATCTATTCTTCACATAGAGAAAGGCCAAGGTGTTGACATAACATGCAAGGATGTTGGAGGAACTTGAATCTTGTCTGCATAAATTTGACATTTATGACATTTTCTAGTATAGTCAATGCAATCTTTTTCCATTGTCAATCAATAGTATCCTGCTCTCATTATTTGCTTAGTCATCATGTAACTGTTTGCATGAGTTTCACAAACACCTTTGTGAATTTTTTCTAGCAACTTTTTGGCTTCAGCAGCATTCACACATCTTAATAGTGTTTAGTTTAGACTTTTCTTATT